AACAACAACAACAACAACAACAACCACAACAATCATTATAAGACTGTTCACTCTTACTTGCCCGTGTGTCATTCAAACCAAGTCCACCACACCCTCGATACCCGCCATTTTTGTCTTCGGTCACACCCCCTGTGGGGGGATTATTTCTTTTTGCGGGGGGGCGGCAGGCTTAGACAGGCGGGCAAACCTGAACGGGCGGACAATCCTCCGTGGCCGTACATGTGCCCGCCATTGGAATTGGTGTGGGCCCTGCAAAAAAAGAGGTGGAGAACGAGGGAGAATGGGAGGAAGGGAGGGGGAGGGACGAAGGAAGAGGGAAAACGCCAGGAGAGAAGGAGCGAAGAGGGGGGCGGCTGATTAGAGGCAGAGAGAGAGAGAGAGACACAGATAAGACAGGTAGAGCAAGAGAGAGAGAGAGAAAGGGGAGAGAGAGAGAGAGAGAAAGAAAGAAAGAAAGAAAGAGAGAGGGATAGAGAGAGAGAGAGAGAAAGAAAGCAATAAAGAAAGAGGAAGGGAGGAGGCAGGCGAAGGGAGGGAGAAGGGAGGAGGGAGAGGAGGGAGAGGAGGGAGAGGGGATAGGGCCAAGCTAGGTGCGCTCGCGTCATATCTGACATCCTACTCCTCCCTCCCATCCCTTACCATGGCGCAGTTCCCCCTCTACCCGCACAGTCGGATGTCGAGCAGGGCAATGATTTCGAAAGGGTACGCGATGCATTGTAGAGCACGGCATGGCATGGCGTAGACGAGCACCGCAAAGCGTAGCATCAACCCAGCATTGCATTGCATGCCGTGGCATGGCACGGGACATGACGCATAAGGATGAGGGAAGAGAGGAGGGAGAGAGAAGGGAGGAGAGGAGAGAGGAGGGAGAGGGAGGAGGAGCAGGAAGGTAAGAGCGTGAACGTTCGAGGAAGTCCTAGGCGAAAGCGCCGTTCTTGAAGGAAGTCTCGGGCGGGAGCCCACGACGGGCGGGCGATCCCCTGACGGGCGGATCGGGCGGGTGGGATATTCAATCGGGATGCCTGAATATGGCGAGAGCGCGATTACTAAGTAAATTGTAACGGCGTCCTTGGCGCAGCGTGTTTCCTGAGCGTCGAAAGCGCGATGTCTTATTAAGTTGCATGGGAGTCACAGGCGACAGCGCAATTCCTGAATAAAATGTGAAGGGTTCTCTGGCGGGAGCGGGGGTCTTGATTGAATTGCGAGGAAGTCTTGACTCAATTGCGAGGAAGTCTCAAGTAGGAGCGCCGTTCCTGAGTAAATTGTAAGGAAGTCTCAGATGGGAGCGGGGGTCCTGACTAAACTGCGAGGAAGTCACAGGCGGGAGCACCGATGCGGAGTAAATTGTGAGGAAGTCTCAGGAGCGGGGGTCCTGAAAAAATGTAAAGGAAGTCTCAGGCGGGAGCCGTTGTTGTTGCAATCCGTGGGGCCAGGGGTCCAGTTTGATAACGGAGACTTTCCCTGTCAAAAAACAAGGTGCGAGCGTCGAAGGGCACACTGCGATTGAGAAAAAACAGTATGCATCGGTGAGGGGAGATCAACAATAATTATTTCCCTACCTAGGCTCTGCCTAGAAGGGTTCTTACTCTGTTCCCTACCTAGGCTCTGCCTAGAAGGGTTCTTACCCCGTTAGCTTAAAGGGGCCGGGCAATGGAAAGCGCCCCGGGCGGTTCCCCCAGTCCCCGCCCCGCGGTTCCCCCAGTCGCGCCCCCTGGGTTCACCCAGCTTAGCTTAGCTTCAGCTTAGCTTTAGCTTAGCTTGAGCTTAGCTTTAGCTTAGTTTTAGCTTAGCTTTAGCTTAGCTTTAGCTTAGCTTTAGCTTAGCTTCAGCTTAGCTTTAATTTAGCTTTAGCTTAGCTTCAGCTTAGCTTCAGCTTAGCTCTAGCTTAGCTTTGCTTAGCTCTAGCTTAGCTTCAGCTTAGCTCTAGCTTAGCTTTAGCTTAGCTCTAGCTTAGCTTCAGCTTAGCTTTAGCTTAGCTCTAGCTTAGCGTTAGCTTAGCTTCAGCTTAGCTCTAGCTTAGCTTTAGCTTAGCTCTAGCTTAGCTTTAGCTTAGCTTTAGCTTAGATTTAGCTTAGCTTTAGCTTAGCTTTAGCTTAGCTTCAGCTTAGCTCCAGCTTAGCTTTAGCTTAGCTCTAGATTAGCGTCAGCTTAGCTTCAACTTAGCTTTAACTTAGCTCTAGCTTAGCTTCAGCTTAGCTTTAGCTTGGTTTCAGCTTAGCTTCAGCTTCGCTTTAGCTTAGCTTCAGCTTAGCTGTAGCTTAGCTCTAGCTTAGCGTTAGCTTAGTGTTAGCTTAGCTTTAGCTTAGCTTTAGCTTAGCTTTAGCTTAGCTTTAGCGTAGCCTGAGCTTAGCTTTAGCTTATCTTTAGCTTAGCTTTAGCTTAGCTTTAGCTTAGCTTTAGCTTAGCTTTTTCTTAGCTTTAGCTTAGCTTTACTGTTACTACAAATGCTGCTTTCCTAGGGGCTCCAACTCCTAGGTAGGGTCGCACTGGGATAACTAGCTTAAGGGGCCGGGCAATGGAAAGCGCCCCGGGCGGTTCCCCCAGTCCCCGCCCCGCGGGTCCCCCAGTCCCCTGGGAGCTTTAGCTTTAGCGTTTGCTTTAGCTTAGCTTTAGCTTAGCTTTAGCTTAGCTTCAGCTTAGCTGTAGCTTATAATCCTTTAATTATAAACTAAATATAAAAGAAAGAAAAATAAGAGAATAAATAGAATAAGAAGAAGTATAAAAAATAAATAAATTAGAGCATAAAGATATATTAAAATTTAAAAATAATTATTTAAACAGTCAAAGCTTAGCTTAACTTCAGCTTAGTTTTAGCTTAACGTTAGCTTAACGTTAGCTTAGCTTTAGCTTAGCTGTAGCTTAGCTTTAGCTTAGCTTTAGCTTAGCTTTAGCTTAGCTTTAGCTTGGCTTTAGCTTAGCTTTAGCTTGGCTTTAGCTTCGCTTCAGCTTCGCCTTAGCTTAGCTTTAGCTTAGCTTTAGCTTAGATTTAGCTTAGCTTTAGCTTAGCTTTAGCTTAGCTTTAGCTTAGCTTTAGCTTAGCTTTAGCTTAGCTATAGCTTAGATTTAGCTTAGCTGTAGCTTAGCTGTAGCTTAGCTGTAGCTTAGCTGCAGCTTAGCTTTAGCTTAGCTTTAGCTTAGCTTTAGCTTAGCTTCAGCTTAGCTTCAGCTTAGCTTTAGCTTAGCTTCATCTTAGCTTCAGCTTAGCATTAGCTTAGCTTTAGCTTAGCTTTAGCTGAGCTGTGGCTTAGCTTCAGCTTAGCTTCAGCTCAGCTTTAGCTTAGCTTTAGCTTAGCTTCAGCTTAGCTTTAGCTTAGCTTCAGCTTAGCTTTAGCTTAGCGTTAGCTTAGCTTGAGCTCAGCTTGAGCTTACCTTCAGCTTAGTTTTAGCGTAGCTTTAGCGTAGCTTTAGCGTAGCATTAGCTTAGCTTTAGCTTAGCTTTAGCTTAGCTTGAGCTCAGCTGTAGCTTAGATTTAGCGTAGCTTTAGCTTAGCTTTAGCTTAGCTGTAGCTTAGCTGTAGCTTAGCTTTAGCTTAGCTTTAGCTTAGCGTTAGCTTAGCTTTAGCTTAGCTTTAGCTTAGCTTTAGCTTAGCTTTAGCTTAGCTTTAGCTTAGCTTTAGCTTAGCTTTAGCTCAGCTTTAGCTTAGCTTTAGCTTAGATTTAGCTTAGCTTTAGCTTAGCTGTGGCTTAGCTTTGGCTCAGTTTTAGCTTAGCGTTAGCTTAGCTGTAGCTTAGCTTTAGCTTAGCTTTAGCTTAGCTTTAGCTTAGATTCAGCTTTGCTTCAGCTTAGCTGCAGCTTAGCTTCAGCTTCGCTTCAGCGTAGCTTTACCTTAGCTTTAGCTTAGCTTTAGCTTAGCTGTAGCTTAGCTTTAGCTCAGCTTTAGCTTAGCTTTAACTTAGCTGCAACTTAGCTTTAAGTTAGCTTTAGCTTAGCTTTAGTTTAGCTTTAGTGTAGCGTTAGCTTAGCTTCAGCTTAGCTTTAGCTTAGCTTCAGCTTATCTTTAGCTTAGCTTTAGCTTATATATAGCTTAGCTTTACTGTTACTACTAATGCTGTTTTTTTAGGGGCTCCAACTCCTAGGTAGGGTCGCACTGGGATACTTTCAGAAATAAGAATGCAGCAACAACAACAACAACAACAACGACAACGACCACGACAACGACAACAACAACAACGACTACAGCGACAACGACAACGACAACGACATCGATCACAACAACAACAACAACAACAACAACAACAACAACAACAACAACAACAACAGCAGCAGCAGCAACAGCAAACGGAACAAACCATGCGCAGCCATAATCAGGCAAGGGAAGAGATTGCACCAGTTAGTGCAGGCAGGATGGGTCGAGGCTGACAGCGGCGAGCGACCGCCGCGCCCAGGCGATACGCCATCCTTCTCCTTCGTCTTGGATGCGAGCAGCTTGTCGTACAGCTCCTGTGAGTCCGCCTCCTTCTTGTGCGCCTTCCGTGCGAGGCGGGGCGTTACCCATACCCACCGCCTGGAGAACCGATGTCCTGGGACACCAGGGAGGGGCGGATGTGGCTGCAATCTGGCCCCAGAGAGCTCGAATGCATCCGTGTCCACCACCTGCCGAGGTGCAGGAAGGTCGGTTCCCCAGGCGGCGGAAACAAGGGCAACTGTGCTCGCGCTTCGCGCTGCGCGAGGTGCGGCCAACCTCGCGCTCTCGCGGCGTCACCCTGGGCGGGAAGGGTTCCAAGTTCAGCTGCCCCAACCGAACCCTGACAGAACGGGAGGGGGCCGAATTACCGAGGGCCGCACACATCTCAGCAGAATCTGAAGTGGAGCACGCGAAAGACGAACTCCATGTGCGGAGGGCGGCGGGGGCGGGCGGCCCTGCACGAAGGCGAGGCGGAGGAGGAACCGCGAGCCGCGCACCGCAGATGACCTCGCGCCCTCGTGGCGGCCCGTGGGCCCATGGGATATGTGGGGGCGCGCAAGCATGGATTTGAAGGGGAACTGGGACACACAAATAAATACACACAAATAAAATTATCCCCCATATTTTCCCATATTTTCTGGGTTTTTGTCTTCCCCCCCACCTCCCATATTTTCCCATATATTCTGGGGAATCGAGGATTAATTGTGTCTGTGTGTTTCTTTTCCTCCTGAGGATTAGCGATCCAAAGGTTAGAGAGCCGTGAGGCCTCCGAACCTCCCGACGGGCCTCCCGAGCGCCCGGAGGCGGGGAGGGGCGGCAGCGCAGGGCCGGAAGGGGCCTCGGGGCTGCAGCCCGCGGGGCCCCGCGCGAGGCCTGGGCCGCTGCGGCACCACTCTGGGGGGAGAGGCTCTCCTCTCGGCGGCGCGCAGACATGGAGATTAGCGATCCATGGATTGGGCGCGCGGCCGCCAAGTCCATGGATCGGGGGAGGCGCCCTCCCCAAAATGCGGCCGGTGCCGCCTCGCTCGGCGGCGGAAATTCGCGGTTTCCCATGAAAGCGGGGCCCGTCGTTAATCCACGCCCCCTTGATCCATGTTTGCGATCGCCTGATCCTCACCGGTGGCAGTGGATCTTGCTCCGACGAGGAGCAATGGCAGACCGCGTCGCCGATGCAAGGCCGATGCGGCGCTATCCCCCGACCACGCCGAATCCGACCCCACCAGGGCGGCCTGGAGAAATGCGAGCAGCACATCACGGCGCCTCTGCGAGTCGTTGAGCCGATTCCAAAAGCCCAAGGGCAAGGCCTTGGCCAAACTGGCCGACTCATGCCCCTGAGTGGAGCTACGGGTGGAGCTACGGTAGAGGGAAACAATTACTGAACACCCCCCCTCCCCCCCAACCTCAATGTTGGCACGCGCGGGGGAGACTGCGGTCGAACATTAGGGGGGGGGGGGGGCGTTGACAGATGAATGTGGCATCATGAGTGTTCGCTAATTTGTTCCGAGGCCTGTATATGCTGTTCCCCTCAGGTTTCGCGGGGCCTCTCCCCACCCAGAGGGGGGGGGCGGGCTGGTGGGGACGAGGTGCCCGTGGCCTGCTGTGGGATGGGGATCGGCTGGGCGATGCTGAGCCTCCCCTCCCTCGGGGAGGCCACAACGTGCCGAGACCGCTGCTCTGAAGGGGCCCCAAGCCCCAAGACACACACAAATAAATACACACAAATAAGATGTTCCCCATATTTTCCCATATTTTCTGGGTTTTGTCTTCCCTCCCACTTCCCATAGTTTCCCAAACTTTCCTGGGGACCGGCGATAAATTGTGTCTGTGTGTTTCCTCCCCTGCGGATGCTCCCCAGCACCCTCCCCGCTTGGGCCAGAAGCTCGAGGCGACTGCAGCCGAAGCGACGAGGGCCTCCCGGGCGGCGGGAGCGAGGGAAGGGCAGCGGCATCGGCAGCGCACCAAGGGGCGGCGCTGGAGGCGCTGACATCTGACTACCTACCAGACCACCCCAACCCAACCCGAAGGCCCGAATTTCGGGTTGGGGGGGGCAAGGGTTCCACACGTGTTTTCTCGATGTTCCCCGACCCCCCCCAACTGGAAATCGAGGGTAAATCTGAGCCTTCGGGTTGGGTTGGGGTGGTTTGGTGGGTGGTGAACATCGGGACCAGCGCCGGTCCGAGACATCCGCGCGGAGCTCCCAAAAAGTTTCTGGGCGTGCAGCTGTGGATCCGTGAGGATGTGCTTCTATGTGCGGCGATGACGGGCGTTATGGGGGGGGGGAGGACGTAACTGAAGGGGCCCTGGGACACACAAATAAATACACACAAATAAAAATGTTCCCCATATTTTCCCATATTTTCTGGGTTTTTGTCTTCCCCCCCACTTCCCATATTTTCCCATATTTTCTGGGAAATCTACAATTAATTGTGTCTGTGTGTTTTTTCCCCTCATGAGTAACGTAACGCGCCGCCCTCCCCCCCCGCCGTGTGGCGCCAGACGCACCGAGGCAGCGACCTGGACGCACTGGGGGGGGGGCTGCCGTCGGACCTAGAGACCAGAAGAGCATCCCTCGAGCATGAGACTCTCCGTCGGCCAAAGCAAGCAGAACATCCAATGGCACCCTCTCTTCAGGATGCACAAGAACTAGGGCGACGATATCTATACATATCCACTGCTCCTGGCCAGGCCCATCCTGGGCCCAGGAGCGGTGTATATGCCTCCCTGGCCAAGCCAGGAGGGCGTATACACAGCTCTTGGGCCCAGGATTGGCCTGGCCAGGAGCAGTGGATATGTATAGATATCGTCGCCCTAAAGAACATCCAACAAGCACGATGAACACTAGGACACCCTCCCCGAACCGAACTCGATCTTATGCCTCGGTCTGACTGTAAGAGTTGTTTTGCGTCGGCGGCTAGGCAGGGACTGACTGCGCTGGCAATGAATGGCATGAACGGGGGTACCGTTGGGCCGAATTGTGCCACCATGCAGTAGGAGGAGGGAGGAGGGACGCGGCTGAAAGAAAATAAGGACGGGGCGGGCGGCTCAGGGGTCAGAACGCTCCCCGAGCGTGTGGCGTGGCCGCTCCCCGACTGTAAGAAAACACTTCCCTTCGAGTCCCAGGGACCTCCCCCAGGACCAGCTCTTCCTCCTAAGACTCACTCTGACAGCCCCACGGCCAGGGGAGACCGCCAGACCCGCTTCCGCCGTTTGTCTTATAGTGCCATCAATACAATGGAGGCCCGTCCACAAGAAACCTTCCACAAGAAACCCACCTCTGCGACCCCAGGAAACCACGAACCTCGCTTGGGGTGGGAACGTCACGCTTCCCATCGCAAAACCATCGAAACCCAAGAAACCCAAGGCACCGTGGAGGCAAGCAGGGTGTTTCTTGGCATGGGTCTCCACTGTACCTGCTACTCCTCGCGCCGGCGCCGCCTGGCCCTCGGGCCATGACAAAAATCACGACGGAGGCTACGTTCGGCCTCTGGGGGCCCTCGCCAGGCCCCAGGGCTGAGGGTGAGGCTGCGCCTGTGTCGTCCCAAGGGGGACGGCCCTACGCGGGGCTAGGCGGTGGGTGCCGGGGCGCCGGCCTCACTCGAACGCCTCATAGTCGGATATATTACAATTGATTCAATTGGGGCTCGGGTCGGAGAGATGGGAGCCGGAGTCGCAGAGATTTGAGCCGGAGTCGGAAAGTTGGGAGCCGGAGTCGGAAAGTCGGGAGCTGGAGTCGGAGAGACAGGAGCAGGGCCCCGGGGCCGTCAAAAAACAAGGCAGGATGAAAAGCCGGTCCTGGGAAATGGGTCGAGACCTCTGGGGTTCGACGTTCAACCGAAAAAAATTGTTCTGGCGAAAGACCCAACCATGCGCAATTGTGAATACCGCGTTGCGTGTCTACCGCTTTCGGTGGAGCTCCCTGTGGGGCCACGAACCGTGTGAAGGGTCTGCCAAAATGGGCGTCGGGCGCATGCGGCCTGTGCCACTGGGGCCTTCGGTGGAGCTCCCTGTGGGGCCACGAACCGTGTGAGGGGTGCGCCGAAATGGGTGGCGGTCCCCGCACGCGGCCTGTGTCACTGGGGCCTTCGGTGGAGCTCCCTGTGGGGCCACGAACCGTGTGAGGGGTGCGCCAAAATGGGTGGCGGTCCCCGCATGCGGACACTGCCACTGGGGCCTTCGGTGGAGCTCCCTGTGGGGCCACGATCCTCGTGAGGGGTGTGCCAAAATGGGTGGCGGTCCCCGCATGCGGACCCTGCCACTGGGGCCTTCGGTGGAGCTCCCTATGGGGACCACGATTCTCGTGAGGGGTGTGCCAGAATGGGTGGCGGTCCCCGCATGCGGACCCTGCCACACTGATGCCTTCGGTGGGGCTCCCTATGGGGCCACGATCCTTGTGAGGGGTGTGCCAAAATGGGTGGCGGTCCCCGCATGCGGACCCTGCCGCTGGGGCCTTTAGTGGAGCTCCCTGTGGGGCCACGATCCTCGTGAGGGGTGTACCAAAATGGGTGGCGGTCCCCGCATGCGGACCCTGCCACTGATGCCTTCGGTGGGGCTCCCGATGGGGCCACGATCCTTGTGAGGGGTGCGCCAAAATGGGTGGCGGCCCATGCATGCGGACCCTGCCACTGGGGCCTTCCGTGGAGCTCCCTGTGGGGCCACGATCCTCGTGAGGGGGGTGTCAGAATGGGATGGGCATGCGGAGAGCAGAGGCAAGGGATGAGAAGAGGGAGGAGGCAGCGGGAAGAAAGGAAGGAAGGAAGGAAGGAACGCGGGTCGCTGTCTCTTCAAAACGAGGACCCAACACCACAGGATGGTTTCCCCGGACACCGTTCCTGGCACATCACCAGTCCCTCGCGGAGGGGGAGGAGGAGGAGGAAGGGGAGGAGGAGTGAGGAGGAGGTGACGCGGGGCGCTGTTTTTTTCAAAACAAGGACCCAACACCACAGGATGGTTGGGAATGACGTCGGGGTTCTGGGCGAAGCGCTCCCAGACGGCGCCAGCACGAATCGTGACGTGACCGGCCCCCTCCCCCACTGACGGTCCTGTTGCCTGGCGAAGGCCCCCGCAGGCCGAATGGCTAAGCACCTCCCGTCGTGACGTTTCTTCGACGCGAGCATGTCTGGGTACAGTGCGGACGCGGTCGCAAGAAACCCAGCCCTGAAGACCCGCGCGAGGGGTGCGGCTGGGGGGAAGCCCAGGGCACCCCGAACGCAGCAGATCCTCCGACGGCCGCGGCAGGTCACCGCGCAGCGCGAGGAGCGAGGAAACCCAGGGTACCCTGATGAAAAGCATATGGCTGCTTGATGCGCGCCCCCACTGTATCTTGTCCCCCTCTTGCCGCGGGGGCCTCGGCGACATTGCCCTCGAAGACGGCAAGGAGCTTCACGAGCACATCCTGGATCTTCGTGGAGCGGGCCTGCGCTCGCCGCCAGGGGCCGGGCGCCCCCGCGCCACGCTCTCGCGGCCGCTCGGGTGGCCGCACACGAGGCAGCCTGCTCGTGGCGTGTGGGGGGCGCTCCGTGGCTGTTGCGCCCTGGGCCTGCTGCCACCGCCCCTCCCACCACAACCACCACCACCACCACCACCACCACCACCACCACCACCACCACCACCACCACCCTATCGTGCACTTCCTGCCGCTGCTGCCGCTGCTGCTCTCCCCAGCTGCTGATGCGCCGCCTCTCCTCCTCCTCCTCTCCTCCTATCCTCCTCACCTCCTCCTCCTCCTCCTCCTCCTCCTCCTCTCCTCCTCCTCCTCCTCCTCCTCCTCCTCTCCTCCTCCTCCTTCCTCCTCCTCCTCCGCCTCCTCCTCCTCCTCCTCCCTCCTCCTCCTCCTCCTCTCCTCCTCCTCCTCCTCCTCCTCCTCCTCCTCCTCCTCTCCTCCTCCTCTCCTCTTCCTCCTCCTCCTCCTCCTCCCCTCCTCCTCCTCCTCCCCCTCCCCTCCGTCTCCTCCTTCTCCCTCCTCCTCCTCCTCCTCCTCCTCCTCCTCCTCTCCTCCTCCTCCTCCTCCTCCTCTTCTCCTCCTCCTCCTTCTGCTCCTCCTCCGCCTCCTCCGCCTCCTCCTCCTCCGCCTCCTCCGCCTCCTCCTCCTCCTCCCTCCTGCTCCTCCTCCTCCTCGCTCTCCTCCTTCTCCTCCTCCTCATCCTCCTCCTCCTCCTCCGCCTCCTCCTCCTCCTCCTCCTCACCACCACCACCATCACAGCATCATGCCCCTGCTGTGCCCCCCCTCTCGGACCCATCTCCTGAGGACCCCAGGTGGCCTTGAACAGGGAGTCCAGCCGTAGGGGGCCAAGTAGCACTGCTTGGTCGAGCGGGCGGTGCCCGACGACGGTGACCCTCAAATCATTTGCCCCAGGTGTTAGCAGCACGCCACCACTCGGCCTCGCTCTCGGCGCATGGAGGAGGAGGGATCGATAGGGGGATCGGGGATCGAGAGAGTACCCAGGAGGGGGAGGGGAGCTAGGAATACGAAAAACACGAATGCGCATCATGTTGGAGCGTGGACCCCAAGCAGTGTGTTCTATCTAGCGCGGCCCCCCCCCAGGATTTGCAAGGGCCCACGGGAACTCAAGGGATGTGTTGCGCACACGGTGCGCAAGAGGCTGCGGGCCCACGACCCTCCCACTGGACATCCCGTGGCGGGGCTGGGGCCCTGTCGATCCTCCTCCTCCTCCTCCTCCTCCTCCTCCTCCTCCACCTCCTCCTCTTTCTCCTCCTCCTCGCCACCATCACAGCGTCATGCCCCTGCTGTGCCCCCCCTCCTCGGACCCATCTCACGGTGCGCAAGAGGCTGCGGGCCCACGACCCTCCCACTGGGCACCCCGTGGCGGGGCTGGGGCCCCGTCGATCCCCCCTCGGAGGCCGCCCGTGCCCGCTCGGCCTGGCACTTTGGAGTGGCACCAGAGAAGGGCCTCCTCATCCTCCTCCTCCTCCTCCTCCTCCTCCTCCTCCTCCTCCTTCTCCTCCTCCCTTCCGCTCGTTTCGACTCGTGTTCCCGCCGCAGCGCTGGCGTCATTCCCCGTGCCATGCCACGGCATGCAATGCAATGCCAGGTTGATACTACGCTTCGCGGTGCTCTTCTACGCCATGCCATGCCGTGCTCTACAATGCATCGCGTACCCTTTCGGGATCATCGCCCTGCTTGACATCCGACTGTGCGAGTAGAGAGGGGATCTGCGCCATGGCAAGGGATGGGAGGGAGGGGTAGGATGTCAGATATGACGCGAGCGCACCTAGCTTGCCTCCTCCCCCTCCTCCTCGTCCTCCTCCTCCTCCTCTTCCTCCTCCTCCTCCGCCTCCTAAGGGACGGGAATCACAGCGCCCCAGCCAGGCGGGCGTCTGCCGTTCTCTCAGAAGCCCGCCTCTCCAAGGGGCGGACTGGGCACGGTCCCTCCTTGCCTTCGGCTCCGGCAGGGGAGGAGGCGGAGGTCTGCGGCAGAGGGGCACTGGCAGAGCGCGCAAAGGCCCGAGCCAAGCGAGCGGGCCGCGGGTCTGAGGTCGACCTGGACGAGGGGGGATCTTATGTTGTCGAGATTGTTAGGGCGTCTTGTCAATTGTCCCCCTTGCAACGGAACAACACGTTCTCATCCTGATAGGCGCCCCACATGTACTGTCGTTCCACGCTCTCCGCCCGACCTTTCTATGGGCAGTGAACCCCGCCATCGTCGTCATGATCGTCGGCATCGCCACCACGACCAGCATCATCATCATCATCATCATCATCATCATCATCATCATCATCATCAGCAGCATCAGCATCACCATCATCATCATCATCATCATCATCATCATCATCATCACCATCATCATCATCACCATCATCATCATCATCATCATCATCATCATCATCATCATCATCATCATCATCATCATCAGCATCAACCGCAGCATGATCGCTAACATCATCATCATCATCAGCAGCATCATCATCATCAGCATCAGCATCAGCATCATGAGCATCATCAACATATGCATCAACACCCTCATGAGCAGCAGCATCATAGACAACCCCATCATCCCCACCTCCACCACCATCAACATGACCACAACCACCACAACATGTACCATGATCTTCATCATCACCACCACCATCATCATCATCCTCATCAGCATCATCATCATAATCAGCATCCGCATCTTCATCGTCATCCTCATCAGGGCAGCATCAGATCCAGCATCTGCACCTGCATCCCCATCATCGGCAACATTATCATCCTCATCACCAGTATCATCATCAGCAGCAGCAGCATCATCCGCATCAGCATCACAATCATCAGCAGCAGCATCCTCAGCACCGTCAGCATCATCATCTCCAGCGCCACCATCATCATAACCACAAACACCACAGCTTCGCCGCTATCATCATCGTGGTCATTAGGAGCAGCAGCAGCATAATCATCATAATCCTCATCACCGTCATCGGCAGCATCAATATTGTCATCATCGGCCTCGACGTCGTCTTTTCCAAAAGCACGCACAGCCTCCCCGCCGTTTAGAGCTGTTTTACCCCGTCGTGGTGCACAGCTTTCCTGCCATACAAAACCAAAACGCCAAACACCACGCGCGAATGGGAAGGCTGGGCATCGTTGAACGGACCCCTACCCCCATGAACGTGGCCTGGGCCCCAGTGGCCCCCTAGATGGGGATATAGGCCGTTCCCTTCGGGTTTCGGGGCGTGTGTCCCCAGCTGGGGTGCAAGGGTGCTGGGGGTCTGGATGGGGGTGGGGATGGGGATCGGTGAATAGGAGAGCTCCAAACAGCTCACCACCACCAGCCCTGGCCAGGCCCATCCTGGGCCCTGGACTGCTGTTGAAGGCGGCCTGGAGGTCTATGCACCATACGCCAGTCCAGGGCCCAGGATGGGCCTGGCAGGGGCTGGTGGTGGTGTACTGCTCGCGCCCCTCCGACAAAAAACGAGACCGAAAGACACACGTGGGGCCACGTCAGACTTTGCACCAGCGCGCGCAACATCCTCGACGATGACGCGAGGCGATGGCAGCAACGGCTTGGGCGCTGGCCCTCCGCCCGCGGGGCCGCCGGCCTGCAACGGGCACGGGCTCCCGGGGCACTGGCAGCCCGGACGCGCAGGACATCTCGAGCCCGGACACGTCGGACACGACACGGTCGGGCACCCAAGGCACGCTGGGGAAGGATGGCTGCGCCAGCAGTGGGCGGTCAGGAGCTGGGCCACGGTGCCGAACAGCCAAGCCGCGGCGGGCGACACAGGCGTTTCGGGTTCATGTGAAACTTGAGCGTGAGCAGCCAACACGGATGCTCGCCATGGGCGACCACGCGCGCGCGCCTGAGAAACATGTCATCCAGCATGGACCCCAAACCGTGCGTTTCTATCAATCTATATTGTGCAGTACGTGTTGCGCACATATATGTGGTGCAACGTATGCTGTACAATAGTTGTGCTGTGCAATATATATATATATATATATATATATATATATATATATACATATATATATACGTGTGTGGTGAAATGTATGGTTTGCAACATATATAGGTGTGCATCGCAATACCTATCTATAGATGGATTCATGTGTATGTATGTGTATGTATGTAGGTATGTATGTGTAACCTATATGCATACCTACACATACACAAACATGTGCGAAGTGTTCAAGCATTTACGCATACTGTTTCAGTAGCATTACATCCACGATGTGATAACAGAGGCAAGTGATTCACATACGAGCTGATCAATGGGGCTTAAATTCTTGAGAGGTGCACGAGGCCAGAACCCCTCGCATCATGCCCGACTGTGGGTATGCGAGGAGCTCGAAGCGCGGGGGCAGTGTGCGTCTTGCCCTACCCGTCGCCACAACTCTCTTGACTGGATCCTTCGCCTCAGCTCGTTGAATATTGCCACATACTCAGGCTCACCCCTGGGATATTCGGACGTCGAATTCGATAGGAGACTCGTTGAGTTAAGTCGGTAGATCTGCTCTCGGCCGCGATTCTAGGTCCAGGGGTGGGCACATGGTGCGTTAAATTTGACGATCTGACATGGGCAGGCGGTGCTTCGGATGAGCTTCGGCTAGCGGCTCTGGCTACACCTTCTTGCGTAGATGGTAGGCTGGGCCGCCGATGGGCGCCTTGCCCGGGATCTTGAGTGCGCCGACGGCCCTCAGCGCGAGCATGATCAGGCGGTCGACCGTCACGTAGGTCAGGTTGGTCGCTGTGTCGACGACCAGCGGGCGATGGTACTCTTAGTTCGCTAGCTCGACGTCCTTGTCGAGCGTGGTTGCCATGGGCCAATGACCGCCAACGTTGCACGCGATCCTGGACATCGGGACTCCCTGCTTCTTCTGGTAGTAGTAGCTGCAGCGGCACGTGTGGTTCCAGTCCTCGAGCTGCTCGGGGGTGCCTTCCTCGACCAGGTGGCTGCGCCTGTTGACTCCTGCGGTGATCAGCTGGATGTCGGCTGGCCTGTCGTCCACGCTCATGGCGCTGAGGCCGCTGATCAAGGCTTTGAGCGCGTGCAGATGCGGTGAGCCGAACTGATGCCCTGCGCCTGCCGCCTTCACGCTGGTGTCGTAGTTCTCGCCTGCGGCCTTCATTGCGACGATGATACGATGGCCCGTTGGGCGCCTGAAGTGTGAGTCCGCCGCCTCCTGGTCTCGCACCCTCGCCTCCAACTGGAACTGGAGCCTCCTCTCCACGTCCTTCACGTCCGTGGTTTTGCCCCTCTTGGTGCTGGGCTCCTCGTCTTTCTTGTCTGCGACCGCTGCCGATCCTGTCGAAGCCTGGCCTGGTGCTGGAAGCCACGCCGACATCGAGTGTGAAGAAATGCTCGTCGTCAATGAGCGCAATGAAACGGTGCAATATGAGATGTTCGTCCAAATTCTCTGGGTGTGCTGCAAAAGTGCTACCTAGTGGACACTGTTGAACTCTTGTGCGGTACTTTCTGCGGTGCTCGAGATTTGCCGTCCACGGAACATGTCCCTCTCTGCAGGGCCTTAAGAAGGTTATTGTTCAGCAGACTCTCGATTAGCGAAGCAGCTCTTACAGATCAGGCAGTAGTTGGAGAGGGTGCAAACATAGGGGATACCTCTGACACCGTGCCCGTCCCCCTGAGACCGAACTACTAAAGGGAAATTAGGACACACAAATAAATACACACAAATAAAAATAGTCCCCATATTTTCCCATATTTTCTGGGTTTTTGTCTTCCCCCCCACTTCCCATATTTTCCCATATTTTCCTGGGAATCGAGGATTAATTGTGTCTGTGTGTTTTTTTCCCTCCTGAACTACATGCATAACCATGGCCTGAGCCGAAGGAAAAACTTGTGAGCAGACGGGACACGAGTGCATGCCTTCCCCTTCTGGCTCAAGGTCCTCACAAGCAGTCCCGCCCCATCCCCCACCATCCACGACACCGCCCAAGCCATGAAGGGGAGGCACTTGCACTCAGAAAAGGCGCCGCAGGCGCGACGCTTATTTACCAGCGCAAGCGGAGCCCTGCGGCGGAAGCAGAGATGTCTCGACGGACATATTTGCGACGGACGACAGACGACCGACGGAGGGCGCGGCGGGGAAGGAAGGAAAACCGCGAGCGCGCACGCGCGCGCAGCCGCCAGCCGAGCCCGCGCAGCTGCGGCTGGCAGGCGGCGAGACCAGCGCGCGCGGCCCCTCGCGGCCTGGCGCCTCCGCCGCAGCCAAATTGCCCGCCGGGGGGCCACGGCGAGCGCCAGGCTGACCGGCCCGAGCAGCGCTCAGCGCCCGGCGGCGGAGTGTGGCGCTATTCTACGCTGTGTTCTGCCTATCTGTGCTATCCTACGCCATGCTGTGCAAACTCAACCATGCGGTGCTAAGAGCAGAGCCACGCTATGCTATGCTGCGGTAAGCTCTGCGATGCTGTGCCATGACATGCTGTGCGATGCTGCGCTGTACTCAGCTGCGCTGTGCAACGCAGTGACACAAGCTGCGATGCGCTGTGCTACGCTATGCCGTGCTCTGCTGTGAGAGCGGGCGAACGAAGGGCGACGAGCGCAACACACTGACGACGGACGGCGGCCACGCGCGGCGACGCGCCGCCCAGGCCGCCACTGGGGCCCCGCGGCGACGGGCGGCGACGAGCCGACCAGACTGGCCCTGGGCACGAGTGCAGACGCTGTCGACGGACTGCAGCCGGCCGGAGCGCCACTGGGGCCCCGCGGCGACGGGCGGCGACGGGCGGCGACGAGTCGGGCGGACCGCCACTGGGGCCCAGCGGCGACGGCGGCGACGGGCGGCGACAAGCTGGCCGGACCGTGAGTGGGGTTCGACCACTTCAAAGCACAAGTATAAGAATCCCTAAGTGCAAGCATCGAGTTGGGAATACCTTATAGAGAGAAAGCACTCTAGCGCATACCAATTGGGAAACCATATGGGAGACCATAAGGGAGGCCACCAGGGAATGGAGATCATGCATGAAACCACCACGGAGACCATCAAATCAATTACCCTGGCGACGTACCCAACCCCTGCGCAATGCGGGGCAGGAGTAGCTCGGGAGATTTGACAAGAAGGCGGCGACGTGACATGGACGCACATACTTCTGCGAGCGGCATTCGGAAGGTCCGCATGTCCCCAATCAAGGGAAAAAAACGATGAGTAACTAAGTGAACCCCTGAGTGACTAAGGAAGACACAAGGTCCAACAGAAGACTGTGGGCAAGAGGCTTGAAACGTCGGCGGGGCAACAACAACATGACATGGCCGCCCAGGGACGGCGAGGTCCCGCTCAGGTCCGCGCAGAGCCTCACTCCGTTGGACCCACCAGCAGCCTTCGAAAGTGGCGAGCCCACCAGCAGCCCTCGAAACTGGCAACAGTTTCGCAGATCGCAGCCCCCCAGGGACGGCGAGGTCTACCTCAGGTCTCCGCGGTGCCTCACTCCGCTGGACCCACCAGCGGCCCTCGAGACTGGCGACAGTTTCGCAGATCGCAGCCCCCCAGGGACGGCGAGGTCAACCTCAGGTCTGCGCGGTGCCTCACTCCGCTAGACCCACCAGCAGCCCTCGAAAGTGGCGACAGTTTCGCAGATCGCAGCCCCCAGGGACAGCGAGGTCTACCTCGGGTCTGCGCGGTGCCTCACTCCGCTAGACCCACCAGCAGCCCTCGAAACTGGCGACACTTTCGCAGATCGCAGCCCGCAGGGACGGCGAGGTCTACCTCAGGTCTTCGCGGTGCCTCACTCCGCTGGACCCACCAGCGGCCCTCGAAAGTGGCGACAGTTTCGCAGATCGCAGCTCCCCAGGGACGGCGAGGTCTACGTCAGGTCTGCGCGGTGCCTCACTCCGCTGGACCCACCAGCAGCTCTCGAAACTGGCGACAGTTTCGGGACGGCGAGGTCTGCCTCAGGTCTTCGCGGAGCCTCACTCCGCTGGACCCACCAGCGGCCCTCGAAACTGGCGACAGTTTCGCAGATCGCAGCCCCCCAGGGACGGCGAGGTCTACCTCAGGTCTGCGCGGTGCCTCACTCCGCTGGACCCACCAGCAGCCCTCCAAAGTGGCGACAGTTTCGCAGATCGCAGCCCCCCCCCCCCCAGAGACGGCGAGGTCCACCTCAGGTCTGCGCGGTGCCTCACTCCGCTGGACCCACCAGCGGCCCTCGAAACTGGCGACAGTTTCGCAGATCGCAGCCCCCCAGGGACGGCGAGGTCCCACCAGCAGCCCTCGAAACTGGCGACAGTTTCGCAGATCGCAGCCCCCCAGGGACGGCGAGGTCTACCTCAGGTCTGCGCGGTGCCTCACTCCGCTGGACCCACCAGCAGCCCTCCAAAGTGGCGACAGTTTCGCAGATCGCAGCCCCCCCCACCCCCCAGCGACGGCGAAGTGAGGGCAAGATGAGGCGGGAGGAGGCGGGAGGAGGAGGGAGACGCGACCGCGGTGCTCTATTCCAAACGAATACCCAACCAGGGAGGGTTGGGAATTATACAACGGAGACCATGCGAGGAGACCATAATGGATACCATGAGAAAGACCAAAAGGGAGGCCACCATCGTCATCCTGCCCCTTCTCCTTCTCCTCGGCCATCCCCCTCCGCCTCCTTCTCCTCTGACACCTCCTCCTCTTCCTCCTCCTCCTCCTCCTCACCCCACTCTCCTCTGTGACATCCTCCTCCTCCTCCTCCTCCTCCTCCTCCTCCTCCTCCTCCTCCTCCTCCTCCTCCTTCCTCATCGGCCTCCTTTTCATCCATTCGCCCACACAAACACACTCACGGATCGGGATGCGCCCACTTCCGCATCCTGGCTGCCAGATCTCACCGCGGTCCTTGTAGCTCATCTTGAACGTCGCCTTCCTGTTGAGCTTTTTCCAATCATACTCCGGGACCTACGCGTCGATGTGGGGGAGCGGAGTGGCAGGACGAGTTCGCATCTCGCTGCGAGCAGGATTTGTGCCCAGTTCCACAGCGTGTTGGATTTCTGGAGGAGCGGTGCCAAAAAACCGAGACGCAGCGGATATAAATAAAATTACCCTGTGACGTACCCAACCCATTTGCATCATGGGAAACGAGGAGTTGGCCGAAACTTGCATGGACAATCAAATTGCAGGATCCGTTGTTTGATATGTAAGCTACTCAGGACACGCGCCTATGGCATGATGCGCAGGAGGACCATACAAGAAAGAGGGGCAACAACTACAGGCTCGAAGAGGACATGGGGAGACGGGAACGAAGAGCAGGAGAAAGACGTGCGGGAAGCCCACTGTGCTGGGCCCCTCAGCAGCCCTCGAAAGTGGCGACAGTTTCACAGATCGCAGCCCCCCAGGGATGGCGAGGTCCCATTTGAGTCTGCGGTGAGTACCCACTGTGCTGGGCCCCTCAGCAGCTCTCGAAAGTGGCGACAGTTTCACAGATCGCAGCCCCCCAGGGATGGCGAGGTCCCATTTGAGTCTGCGGTGAGTACCCACTGTGCTGGGCCCCCCAGCAGCCCTCGAAAGTGGCGACAGTTTCACAGATCGCAGCCCCCCAGGGATGGCGAGGTCGCATTTGAATCTGCGGTGAGTACCCACTGTGCTGGGCCCCTCAGCAGCCCTCGAAAGTGGCGACACTTTCACAGATCGCAGCCCCCAGCAGCCTTTGAATCCGCCGTGAGTACCCACTGTGCTGGGCCCCCCAGCAGCCTCGAAAGTGGCGACAGTTTCACAGATCGCAGCCCCCCAGGGATGGCGAGGTCCCATTTGAATCCGCCGTGGGTACCCACTGTGCTGGGCCCCCCAGCAGCCCTCGAAAGTGGCGACAGTTTCACAGATCGCAGCCCCCCAGGGATGGCGAGGTCCATTTGAATCCGCCGTGGGTACCCACTGTGCTGGGCCCCCCAGCAGCCCTGAAAGTGGCGACAGTTTCACAGATCGCAGCCCCCCAGGGATGGCGAGGTCCCATTTGAATCCGCCGTGGGTCACTGTGCTGGGCCCCCCAGCAGCCCTCGAAAGTGGCGACAGTTTCACAGATCGCAGCCCCCCAGCGATGGCGAGGTCTAATATGAGTCCCCGTGGTGCCTCACTCCGCTGGGCCCCCAGCAGCTCTCGAAAGTGGCGACAGTTTCACAGATCGCAGCCCCCCAGGGATGGCGAGGTCTAATCTGAGTCCCCGTGGTGCCTCGCTCCGCTGGACCCACCAGCAGCCCTCGAAAGTGGCGACAGTTTCACGGATCGCAGCCCCCCAGGGATGGCGAGGTCTAATCTGAGTCCCCGTAAGACGTCACTGTGCTGGGCCCCCCAGCAGCCCTCGAAAGTGGCGACAGTTTCACAGATCGCAGCCCCCCAGGGATGGCGAGGTCTAATCTGAGTCCCCGTGGTGCCTCACTCCGCTGGACCCACCAGCAGCCCTCGAAAGTGGCGACAGTTTCACAGATCGCAGCCCCCCAGGAATGACGAGGTCTAATCTGAGTCCCCGTGGTGCCTCGCTCCGCTGGACCCACCAGCAGCCCTCGAAAGTGGCGACAGTTTCACAGATCGCAGCCCCCCCAGGGATGGCGAGGTCTAATCTGATACCCCGTAAGACGTCACTGTGCTGGGCCCCCCAGCAGCCCTCGAAAGTGGCGACAGTTTCACAGATCGGGAGAAGAGAGGAGAGGAGGGGGACGGGAAGGAGGAGAAGGGAAGACGCGCAAGCAGTGCTCTATTCAAAACGAGTGCCCAACGCAGGAGGGTTGGGAAAAATTATCCCCGCTGCAGACCACATGTTTATCCATGTTCGTTGCGTCCTGGGTTTCTGGCGAAGGGAATCCGACAATCCGAGACGCAGCGAACGTGAGTACAACTCTTGCCCGCGCTCGCGCGGGAGATCCACCGCAATGGGAGGGGCGCTGGAAGGGAAGCTGGCGCCCAGAAGGGACGGGAAAAGCCCGGATCAGATCAGAAGAGAAGGGGAGGATACTGTTTCCCACAGGACCTGCGCAAGGACTCTGCTGCACCCGCCGAGAAAACGTGGCTGTGTTCTTGGGCGCCACGTGGCGCCGCCAGGGGGCAAGACGATGCGCTCTGCGGAACTGCGCGCGCGTGTGAGCCCAACTGGCCCCGCGACAGATTGCGCACGAGAGGGGGCTCTCAGCGTGAGGCGGGAGGGAAGCGGAGAAGAGGACACGCGCAGAGCCGAAGGCGTACACGCCAGGCGGGCAGGTGGCAAATGAGACCTGGACGAAAAACGTAATATTGTGCGCGCGGATCGAGAAGAAACAACTCAGGGCACGAGTAAGTGCCCGACGCGGGGCCGTGCAGAAGAAATTGAATCACACGCGTGTGTTTTCCAACGCGGACCCCAAGCAATGGGCTCTTGCATTCCCGATGTGAACTCGATGTGGTGCAACCAATGACATACTTTTTCCGTGGTGCAATTCGTTTCGACCATCCTTAACAGGGGATATGTCGACCCCTATCCCAGGCTTCGTGGGGTTTCCGAATGGACCAGAAATTTGGGGCCTAACCCTGGGATATACGATGGGGGGGTGTCCATTCTCGATAGGGTGCGTCCGAATAGCCCCCTTGGGGTGTATCCCAGGGTTTTCCCATTCTTCTGAGCGGCCAGACTTTTCGGGCGAAACTCGGGGATTGGGGGAGAAACATCGCCCGCGAATCCTGACGTCGTCAACCCAAACGCTCGAGCAGACATCCCACCCACCCGCCCGCAGCTTGCTTGACGAGATGCCTTCGGCCACGAGCGCCGCTCCCCTTGGACGTTGCTATCGCATCTCTACGGCCACACTCGCGCGCGCAATTTGGCAGACGCAATGGCCGCGATGGCTGTCGCCGCCGTCGTCGTCGTCGTCGTCGGCGTCATTGACGTCGTCGTCGTCGTCGGTGTCGTCGTCATCGTCGTCGTCGGCGTCGTCATCGTCGTCGTAGTTGTCATCGTCGTCGTAGTCGGCGTCGGCGTCGTCGTCGTCGTCGGTGTCGTCGTCGTCGTTGTCGGCGTCGTCGAAGTCGTTGGAGACGTCGTCGGTGTCGTCGTAGTCGTTGTCGTCGTCGTCGTCGCTGTCGTCGTCGGCGTCGCTGTTGTTGCCAAGTGCCATTTGGTACCCACCGTCACGGTCTTAAGAGATTTTGCAAACCAAGTTGCGGGTGGGTGGGTGGGATGTTTGCGCGAGCAGTGGAGTGGACAACTCACTGCGAACAGAAATTAATTACACTGCATCGACTGCACCGCATAGATTGCATTACATAGGTTGCATCGCACACATTCTCCTTTCTAAAAAGAGAATAGACTCTACCCCCCCCCCCCGGACTTATCGGTTCCCCCTGGGATAGTATGATTTCAAACATTTTCTGCACACTCGTCCATCCTAAATATGAAATCATACCATCCCAGGCAGGCCGGTTTCCCCCCCTAGGTTCCCTTGTAAAAAACTCTATGCGGTTACATTTTTTGTTCTAACATAACATTTTTCACGAATCCATTGCACAAAAAATAAACGAAGTGCACACGCGCGCGTCGTCGCGCGCGCATGCCGAAATCCTTCAAAAACCTTCGGTGCCGGAAGGATTTCGCAATCGCGTTTCCAAAAAAACATACAAAAACACATGGTTTCGCAACACGGATTTGCTAAAAAAGCTTCCGCGCGAGCTTTTGCGAAATCTTAAGAAAACCATATGTTTTTTCCAGATTTTCATAAAATGCTACCACGCGGGCTTCGCGCGCGCGCATGTCGAAATCTGTCGAAAGCCCTTGCGCGTGTGCCGTCGCGAGAATCCTCTGCAAAAAAACGAGACGAAGTGCAGACGCGCGCGTCGTCGCGGGCGTATGTCGTAAACCTTCGAAACCCATAGGTTTCGGAAGGATTTCAAAATCGTGCGCCCAGAAAACCTACAAAAACCCAGGGTTTCGCAACACGGATTTTCAACAAAAGCGTGCGCGCGCGCTCTTGCGTCGTCGTCGTCGTCGTCGCCGTCCTCCCTCCTCCCGCGTCGTCGTCGTCGTCGCCGACGTCGTCCTCTGTCTTTTCTCGTGTTCGTCGTCGTCGTCCTCTTTGGCGTCGTGGTCGTTTCCGTCGTCGTTGTCGCCGTGGTCGTCCTTCCTCCTCCTCCCACGTCGTCGTCGTCGTCCGTCGTCGGCGTCTCGTCGTCGTCCCTCCTATTTCGTCGCCGTCGTCGTCGTCGTTGTCGTCGTCGTCTTCCCTCCTCCCTCGTCGTTGTCGTCGTCGGCGTCGCCGTCCTTCCTCCTTCGTCGTCGTTCGCGTCGTCGCCGTCCTCCCTTCTCCCTTGTCGTTGTCGTCGTTGTCGCCGTCGTCGTCCTTCCTCCTCCCTCGTCGTCGCCTTCGTTGGCGTCGTCATCGTCGTCTTCGTCGTCGTCGGCGTCGGCGTCGTTGTCGTCGTCGAAGTCGTCGGAGACGTCGTCGGTGTCGTCCTAGTCGTTGTCGTCGGTGTCGTCGTAGTCGGTCTTAAGAGGTTTTGCAAACCAAGTTGCGGGTGGGTGGGTAGGACGTTTGCGCGAGCAGTGGAGATGACGACTTCAATTTCAGCAGAGTGGACTGCACCACATAGATTGCATCGCACAGAATGCAAGAACCGACTGTTTAGGGTCCACCCTGGCTAACATGGCACAATATGTACTGCGCTCCATATATAGCTCCACATATACTGCTAGAAACACACTCTGTGGGGCCTACGCTGGCTAACATTGTTGAATTCGGCGTCTTTCCAACACGAGCGAGCCGGCGCGTCTAAAAGAAGCCTGGCTGGGATTGTATACCTGACGCTTGACATGACAAGTCCTGCAAAACGGATATGACAAGCCAACACGCGAAGGTAAGACGCTAAGTCTGGCCTCGACACAGGGGTGTAGTCTCATACTGCTCAGAAAACGAAAAAAATACATCGTCGAGTTGCAGGCATGAGAGACCATGGAGAAGCCCAACGGCAGCCTGTTAACACATAGCACATGAACACAGAACCAGGCAAGCAAGCATAACACATCGTACCCTGAGATCCGACGGCGCGAAAAAAGCTGAGCGCAAAAATGCGCGAAGGGAGCCATCTTCCCGCTCCGCCAGGATCTCAGGGTATACGACATTCGGCGGCGAGCCCAGCAAAAAATGAGCGGGAGAAGGCCTTCTCAGAAGGCTCGGAAGCCCCCTGGCCTCCTGAGACGATTTCTAAGCCTCCCCCAAAGACGCAGAAAACCCCTCAGAAGGCGCGAGCGCTGCTGAAAGCTCCCGCCGCCTTTTGAGACGGCCTTCTCCTTCTCACTTCCCCCCCCGTTTGCCGCCGAGAGTGCCCACGCACCAAGCCTCCCAGAGTCTAACCCGTCCCCCCCGAGGGGGAAGCTCACTGATGAAGGGGCCCTGGGACACACAAATACATACATACAAATTAAAGGATTCCCCATAGTTTCCCATATTTTCGGGGTTTCTGTCTTCCCCCCACTGCCCATATTTTCCCATATTTTCTGGGGAATCGACGAGTAACTGTGTTTGTGTGTTTCTTCCCCTCCTGTCTAACCCACCCACCCCGAGGGGGAAACTCACTGAAGCCGCCGGCTGCCCCTGCAGGAGAGGGGGGCGCCCGGCAGGGCGGTCGGCGGATCAGGCCGCGCCTCGCCGCCGAGCAGCCTCCGCAGGAAGACGGCGTCCCCGGGCTCGAGGAACCTGGCGGGAGGCAGGAGGGCTGCCTCCTCCTCCCCCCCTCCTCCTCCCCTCCTCCCTCTCCTCCTCCTCCTCCTTCTCCTCCTCCTCCTTCTCTCCTCCTCCCCCTCCTCCCTCCTCCCCTCCTCCTCCTCCTCCTCCTCCTCCTCCTCCTCCTCCTCTTCCTCCTCCCCCTCCTCCTCCCCCCTCCCCCTCCTCCTCCTCCTCCTCCTCCTCCTCCTCCTCCTCCTCCTCTCCTCCTCCTCCTCCTCCTCCTCCTCCTCCTCCTCCTCCGCCTCCTCCTCCCTCCTCCTCCTCCTCCCCCTCCTCCTCCTCCTCCTCCTCCTCCTCCTCCTCCTCCTCCTCCTCCTCCTCCCCCTCCTCCTCCCCTCCTCCTCGTCCTCCCCTTCGTCCTCCTCTCCTCCTCCTCCTCCTCCTCCTCCTCCTCCTCCTCCTCCTCCTCCTCCTCCTCCGCCACCTACGGGCATCAGGTGTATGGTGCACACGGCAGCGGCATGGTGATCCAGCGGCGCCGCCTGGCGGCTGCAGCAGGAGGGCGTTGCAAGACGACTCTGCTAGCCCTACGTCTGCCAGACTGTGACCCAGGGTTGGTTTTACCCAAGCAGTGCCTGGAGCAGTGGTTTCAAGCCTGGCTTTCCGAACCACGGGTCAGGGCGGGGGTCATCCGTGTTTGGCCGCGAATCGCCGAGCAGCTCAGCAGGTTGGCAGAAGTTGATCGAGCCCGTCACGTCCGCGGCCCAGTGTCAGCGGTCATCGCGTACCTGTTGCATGCTGGGTGGAACCCGATTTCGGCGACTGAGTGGGATACGACGAGTGACATCTCTCAGGACAGGCACGGCTGGAGTTTCAGTGGTGCCGATTTCTGTGCGATGGACCAGACCGCCCCACTCATCTCGGAGTTTGTGGATTCACTTGCGAGCAGGCAGTGGCGCGAGGCTGCGGAGCACTACTGCGGCGGCGGCCTCGAAGAGGGGTCCGACCTTCTCAGCCTGAGGAAGTGCTTGGCGGATTTGCAGCACGTCCATCGTGGTCGCCAGCTCGCCGAGGTGATGGTGGCCATCGCAGTGGACGGGTCCTGGCCCAGCCAGCGACGTTTCGAGGCCGGCCTGTGCGACGACAGCCTGTGCGACACGTGCGGGCAGGGCGTCGACCTGGCCCTACATCGCACACGGCTCTGCAGCTGCAACAGCAGCAGCAAGGGTTTCGCGGACTCCAGTGACCTCGTGCCCATGGCGGTCGTGGAGTCCGAGGCTTTTCCCTGTTTCTGGCTCAGGGGCCTCATCCCGTCAGCGTGGACGAGAGTGACTCCGCCGACGGCTGTGGAGCAGTGGCATACAGGGCGTATGAGCAGTGAGATCGAGGCCCGTTGTCTTGGGCGAGGCACGGAGGATGCCCGGCTGCTTGTGTTCGGCGATGCGTCGGGCGGCCAGGACACGCACGACCCCCGCCTGCGCCGCGTCGGCATCGCGGTCACGGTCATCGGGTCCTTTTCCCCGTTCCAGCTGGGCCCACATGTGCTGGGGCCGCTGCCTGGGCCACCTCAAACGGTCCCGCGAGGCGAGATCGCGGCGCTCGAGCTGGTCATCCGCCTCTCCGAGGGGTGGGTCATCTACGTCACGGACTGCGACGAGGTCAGCCGCGGCTGGTGGACTGGGCTGGCCGGTCGGCCTCGGGGCGAGCACGCCGACCTGTGGCGAGCCATGGGCCACTCGCTTCGTCAGCAGGGTCGGCCCCCAGAGCACATCATCGTGCTGCAGGTGCCGTCGCACCTGGACGGGCCTGAGGTGCCGGCGAGGCAGATTCCATCGTGGCTCGTGCAGGGCAACACGGCGGTGGATGAGCTGGCTGGTGCTGCAACCAGCCGCGCTCGCGTGGCGCTCGCCGAGCGCACGCGGGTGCTCGACACTGAGAGGAGGGCGGTCCTGGCGAGGCGCAGGCTCCTGCGGGCCGCCCTAGAGGTGCTGCAGGCCGAGGGCCTCGCCCAGACGGGCCGGGCCCGCCAGGCTAGTGCTCCTTCTCCCCCGCCTCCTCCTCCTCGTCCTCCCCCTCCTGCCCCTATCGTGTTTGCACGCTTTGCGACCCCGCACGTCCTGGCCGAGGATGGACGCTCCTGTCGCGTGTGTAGGTCATCGAGTTCGATTGCAGAGCTGCGTGTGTGGCTTAAAAGCGAGTGTGTGCCTCTTGAGGCTGTCGACGGTAAGGTGCTTCGGTTCCCTCGAGGACGACGTTTACACATCGCTGGAGGTTGGGCCCACCCCTCACACGCTCTGTACTTTCATGAAGTGCTTCGATTGTGGTTCTGTCGCACATGTGGCTTCTACGGCCAAGACCAGCTCAGAGGTCTAGCAAAGCCATGCGTATTACCCATATCGAGGACGCGCCGCGAGTATCTTGATAGAATTTCTCGTGGCGAGTTCCCCAAAGTCTGAGCTCAGCTTTAGTCACTCTTGTGATGGCGGAAATCCTGGAAATCCTCCTCCTCCTCCTCCTCCTCCTCCTCCTCCTCCTCCCTCCTCCTCCTCCTCCTCCTCCTCCTCCTCCTCCTCCTCTCCTCCTCCTCCTCCTCCTCCTCCTCCTGCGCGCGCCTGTCGCCGAGCTGCGCCGCCCTGGACAGGGCCGCTGCCTCCTGGCGCGCGCGGGAGTGAGGAGGAGGAGGAGGAGGAGGAGGAGGAGGAGGAGGGGAGGAGGAGGAGGAGGAGGAGGAGGAGGAGGAGGAGGGGGGGAGGAGGAGGAGGAGGAGGAGGAGGAGGAGGAGGAGGAGGAGGAGGAGGAGGAGGGAGGAGGAGGAGGAGGAGAATCGGGATCTGGATGGGGCTCGTGCAATGCGCATGTCTGCTTGGCCCGTGCGGTTTGATTGAAACCTGGAGGCCTCGCTGCGCCTGGAGCGCTGCGTGACGCTCTTTGTAAAACGGCGACCTTGCTGGCGACCCCTGTTCTCCGGCAGGGCGGAGGAGGAGGAGGAGGAGGAGGAACCCAGACATGTTCCTGTCGTGAGCAAAATCACGGCGGAAAGATGTTGTCAATTTTCGGCCACCGCGAGCCGTCGCCCGACACTGGGACTGCCAGAAAACAACTCGAGATAAAAAAAACTGGCCCTGAGGGAAGGGTCGGGACATTTGGAAACCGCGCATTGACAAAATCGAGACACCACATGTCTGGGGAGGGAGGCTTCGAGCATCGAAGTTTTCGGACGCTTTCGTCAATTGTCGTCGATGTTCCAACCTCGGGGTGATCTCCAGCAGCTGCGCTTCGCCGAGAGACGCTCATGGGTGCCCTCATCGTCCCGAACGGCCACCGGGGACCCGAGCACTGACCCGAAAACCAGACGTCGAGCATGAGGAGGAGCATGAGGAGGAGGAGGAGGAGGAGGAGCGGAAGGGGAGGGGTACGACAGGCCCGTGTCGTGACGACATCGGCGTTGGTTTCTGACACCGCGCGGATCGTTTAGCCTTGAACGATTACGGCTGTCGGAGCGCGCGAATCGGTCGATGCTGGCCGATTCTGGGCCATGGGGCGGAATCCCACCAGCCCTTTGGGCGTGAGTGGTTTAGAGAGCCCGCTCTGTCCTCAACCCCCCTTCTTCCCCTTCGGGGAGGGGTGTACCCCTCTCCCTACCCCCTCCCCCTGGACCTGGAGAGGGTGCCCCGCGGGTCGTTGGAGGGGTCTTTTTCGACTCCTGGGAGGGGCAAAAAACGACGACCCTCACAAGGATTCTGGCCCCGACGGGGGGGGCGAGTTTGGCCCCTCTGCTCTTCTTTGAAGCCAAAATCATTGATTTTCCTACGGTTTGGGCCCCATTTTGGCCTCCTGAGGGGGTTGAGTTTACGAAGGTTTGGGGCTCATTTTGTCCTTCTCAGGGGGCAGCTCTCCTTTGCGCTTCTGCGGAGGTCGCAAGAGGCCCCAAGATGGCCCCAAGAGGCCCCCAGGAGGCTCCCAAGAGGCCTCCAAGAGGCCACCCAGAGGCCCCCAAGCGGCCCGAAGAGGCCCCCAAGAGGCCCCCAAGAGGCCCCCAAGAGGCCCCACGAGGCCCCAAGAGGCCCCCAAGAGGCCCCCAAGAGGCCCCCAAGAGGCCCACGACGCCCCAAGAGGCCCCCAAGAGGCCCCCAAGAGGCCCCCAAGAGGCCCCACGAGGCTCCAAGAGGCCCCCAAGAGGCCCCACGAGGAGCCCGAACGACTCACATCAGGACGAGGGGCCCGAACGACTCACACCACGAAGAGCCCGAACGACTCACACCACAAGGAGGGGCCCGAACGACTCACACCAGGACGAGGCGCCCGAACGACTCACACCACGAGGAGCCCGAAGGACTCACACCACGACGCGGGCCCCGAACGACTCACACCACGAGGAGCCCGAACGAGTCACACCAGGAGGAGGGGCCCGAACGACTCACACCACGAGAAGCCCGAACGACTCACACCAGGACGAAGAGCCCGAACGACTCACACCACGAAGAGCCCGAACGACTCACACCAGGAAGAAGGGCCCGAACGACTCAGACCAGGACGAGAAACCCCAAACGACTCAAACCACGAGGAGCGCTTTCTCTCCCTCCTCCTTCGCCTCGTCCTTCTCCCGCTCTCCCCACAAGGAGGATGTACAAGGAGGCGGGAGGAAGGAAGAACAGGGGAGATATGCGGGGCCCAGCGGCCACACGCCTGAAAAACACGACTGTCGGCATGCTTCGCGAGAGTTGCTGCTGTGAGATGGGCTGGTGGGGATACGCGAAGCGTAAAGAATTTCAGCTTGAAATATGCAGCATGGGACGCGGCCGCGTCGACACGACACTGAGGGGCGACGATATCGGGGGGACAAGCTCAGGGTGGGAAACATCGAGCTGGAACTGGCGAAGCATCGCCAATAGATCGGAGACAGGCTCCTGATAGCGAAACCGAACGTTCTGGGGGGGAAGCCATCGGGCCCCCATCGGCGGCAAATGAGCGATTGGGGGTCGATGCGTCCCCCCCCGGGTCTGTCCCCCCTAACGTTGCCCCCTGACTTCCAGCTCAGATCGGCTCTCAGGCTGCCACTCGGGACGATCCGGGCAGCCCCGGACGCCTCCTCAGCCTGTCCCCTCCTGACGTTGCCCCCGGCACGGAGCGGGCGCCCCCGCGAGATGCCACCGAGGAGGCAGCCGCCGACGCCGCCGCAACCGTCGTCGTCGTCGTCGTCGTCGTCGTCGTCGTCGTCGTCGTCGTCGTCGTCGTCGTCGTCGCCGTCGCCGTCGCCGTCGCCGTCGCCGTCGCCGTCGCCGTCGCCGTCGCCGTCGCCGTCGCCGTCGCCGTCGCCGTCGTAGTCGTCGTCGTCGTCGTCGTCGTAGTCGTCGTCGTCGTCGCCGTCGCCATCGCCGTCGTCGTCGTCGTCGTCGTCGTCGTCGTCGTCGTCCGTCATCGTCGTCGTCGTCCCGAAAACCTCGAGCCTCGAACCCGAAATTTACCCCCTTGAGCCTGTCCCCCCTGACTTTGCCCCTGAGCCATGAACCTGCCGCAAACACACACACACACACACCCACCTTACGGCAGGTTCGTGTCGTGACGACCCCGGCACTGGTTCATGACACCGTGGGGATCGTTCAACCTTGGACGATCGGCCGTTTCCGAAACGTCAGTTCGCTAAATAACGACCGACTCCTGGTCGCTGGCGGCGTTCAAGCTTGAACGCCCACGCTGGGGTCGCCGCTGGTCGACACGACGAGGCAGGCGTGTGTGTTTCGGACGTTGGCAAGTTAGGCACTTTGCGAGTACAGTGGAGGCCCATGCCAAGAAACACCCTGCTTGCCTCCAGGGTGCCCTGGGTTTCTTGGATCTCGATAGTTTTGCTGTGAAGGCGTGACGTTCCCACACCAAAAATCAGATGGACGTCCTAGGGTCTTAGGGTTGGGCTTCTTGTGGAAGGTTTCGTGCGGACTGGCCTCTCGTAGACACGGGCGTTCCACTTCTCGCAGAGCTGCTACTCGCAAATGGCCTGGACCCGCCGAAGGCCGAGGGGGGTTTGCGATCCTTGGCGGCGCGCACAGGGGGGTAGGGGGAGGGGGGAAGGCTTCTTAGAAGGAGGCTGCTTCTTAGAAGGCGCCGGCCTTACATCTACAAAGAAGGCCCGCGCCTTCTAAGAAGCAGGGGTGCTTCTAAGAAGCCTTCCCCCCTCCCCCTACCCCCCTGTGCGCGCCGCCAAGATCCATAGCATCGTGGCAGAGGTTTGTTCTCAGGGCCTTCTGCGAGAGGGCCCTTTGCTGGTAGTTCAACGCACCCGGTGATCCAGCGCGCTCGGTGAGCCACTGCAGCGGAGCGCGCTCGGTGAGCCGTGCCCTCTCGGGGCGCCCTTTCGCCCCCCAGATGACTACCTACCAAACCACCCCAACCCAACCCGAAGGCCCGAATTTCGGGTTGGGGGGGGAAAGGGTTCCATACGTGTTTGTTCAATGTTCCGCGACCCCCCCCCCACACTGGAAATGGAGGGCAAATCTGAGCCTTCGGGTTGGGTTGGGTTGGTTCGGTGGGTGGTGACCAGAGGGCCGGAGCCCACGCCGGCAGCCGGAGAGCACGGCGAGCGCGGCAGAGCGGCGGCGCGGGGTGCCCCGACGTCGGCCGCCGCGGTGCTGCTGCGCTGGGGCCCCGGGAGCTGGCCCCGCAGAGTCGATGGACGAGCGCGGTCCGCTGCTCGTTGGGCGTTGCAGACCACCCCGCCAGTTCCACCAGCAGCAGCCCCTCGGCCGCCGCTTATGAGCGCTGGCCCGGCAGTCTTCCGCGTCGCTCAGTAGCTTATTAGGCTGGCCCGTGCCCCGGACCCCCCTCTCGGCGACAGCTTCACGCGTCTGCCCGCGACCAAAAAAGTTCCACGGCTCGCAGAACAGCTGATCGCAAATGGCCTGGATCCGCCACGGGGGATTTACGCTGCAGTGCATCGACGCAGGCACGTGTTGTGTCGGGCGTTGGCGAGTACAGTCGAGGCGTTGACCTAAGGAACCCTAAATAAGGAACGAGGCCCCTTTTTCCCATAAGTTCAACCTCGATTTCCTTTGGAAAACCTCAGGAAAACCCGAGGCCAACTTTGAAACAATCAAGGAACACCGAGCCCCTCCCCAACGCAAAGGGTTCCTTCTTCAAGACCCCTACTGTAGGCACTGCGCGAGTAATGGAGCGCGCTCGGTGAATCGTAACGACATGGACTCCTGCAATCGGCGGCATCTCGGATCCGAGTTGCGGCCAGGCACCAAGGCGGCGGGCGAGGGGGAGGAAGCGAGAAGGGGCGGGCCTTCTCAGAAGGCTCGCAAGTCCCCGGGCCTGCTGAGAAGTTTTCTGAGCCTTCCCCGAAGGTGCACAGAAACTCTCAGAAAACCCGAGGCCTTCTGAGAGAAGTCCCGCCGTCTTCTGAGAAGGCCTCCTCCTTCTCACTTCCCCCCCTTCGCTCGCCGCCGAGGCAAGGCTAACTGCTGCGCAAGTGGGGCACGGAGGCCCGCGGGGAAGCGGGAGGAACAGGAGGCGAGGACCGTGGGCGGCTATCGGGTCGGGCGAAAGGGGGGGATAGCAAGGGGGGGGGCGGAGAATCAGCTCACGTAGCTGATGTTCCCGGCGCCTCCCGGCGCCGGAGGCGGCTATGTGTATCGAGGAATGGGCCCCCCCTCGGTG